CCCCCCTTGTGTGTATGACTGAGTCGGGGTGGGGGGGTGTAGAAAGTTGGTTTTGGTGGTTTTTTTTTTTTCTCCTTACTGGTGGATTCTTTCCAGCCAGAGAAGGCAGCAAGGTAAGGGCAGAGGTGCTCTCCATGCTGATGTCACATCAGTGCTCTTGAGTGTCTTGTGATTGCTGTAGGTGGCCATGCACCTCTGCGTGTGCCTGCAGGGAATGTATCTCCAGCCTTGCTACTGAATGAGCCTGGGGACATGGAGCAGCAAGCCTTCCTTTACTCTGGCATATTTTCCTCTAACACATAATTAAAACAATGACTCAGCTAAAAGCAAAAGTTTTATTTAATAAATATAATTTTCATAAACCATTTTTAAAACAACTTCTACTGACCAAGCTGTACAATGAGCAAGCACACAGCCCTGCTGTCAGAGAATCAAAAATAACATGAGGCAGCCACAGTGTCAGAGGTCCAAAATTCTTTGTACTAATTATTGCTACAGTTTCCAGTTGAGAATGCCCTTTATTTGCCTAAAATTAAGGATCACTATCTTTTAAAAGGTACTTGCAGAGATGATACCCTTTGCATTTTTTTCTTCAAAAAAAGAAGCAGAACTTGATCACACTTCAGTGAAAAAACAGGAGTCTAGATTTGTTATTTTTGTGTGCCTAGGACCTGAAATCTCTCATGGGACCATAACTGTAAAAATATATTCTTTGCCATAGTACTGATATCTTATTTATACCTGAAAGGGAGTCTCATTTTTAACCATTTTCCCTTTTCTAAATTATACACCGCATAGACTATCTTTGATCCCATTACCAAAATGTAAAAAAGGTTGCGAACCCACTGATGTATGAAATACATATTTTCCTTTAAAACAGCTGAGGAAAAATTAATACACACCACAGGCCATTTAGATGCACTTTGGGGTTTCTTTCAGAGAACTCATTTTTTGTGTCATAAACAGCAGTATATTTCATTTCTTTCCACTTCACGTTACATGTAGAGGTCTTTTGCCCATGGCCCCTCAGGTTTTTTTCATGTCTATGCATTTATACAAACTGGAAACAACAAAGAAATCCTATCATCTACAGCGATGACACTTGTATGTACTTATTGTAATACAACATCATAGCATGGCAACAAGCTAGAGCAAGGCGAGTACGTCAAAGTGATGAGAACATTCCTTTTAACAAAAGCCACAGAAGCTTGGGCAGCGCACACGGTCTCTCTACTGAGTTATTTCTGATGCTGCTACAAGCAGTATTTAGCTGAAGGAAAAAATCTGCGGAAAGCAGAAGCCTTGCAAATACCGATGCGAATGCACTTCTAGGATGACTGACAGCAAGAGTTGATACAGCCATGAGCATCCAATCTTCCCTCCTCCTTTTATAAATTGA